TTTTCACGTCTTACAGAAAATCAAGATTTGAACTCGGTGTTAGACATTTTCATGACAGTCGTCCTCGAGTATAGAATCCAGAGGTTGGCAGTGAATATTTCGGAGACAGTAGGAAAGCGTAGTGCAGGTTCGCAGTGGATATCACAGCAGAGTGTAGTTGATCCTTCTCCTGGTCGCCTTTGGTCCTTCCGGTAGAGGAAACAAGATGACCGCCTTTATAAACGACGAATACAGTGCTGTGCGGCTTCTGATTGGTCAACCTTTTATTGGTCGACTATAAAGGGAAACAAGTCATTCTGACTCGCTCACTAGTTATATACACAAAAAACCGTAACACTCGGTGCGAGATCTGGGGTTTGATGTAATAAATCCTGACATTAGAAATTAGATACATAGCTTTTACCAATTTTTGAGTATTTAGCATTAAATATTGTCCAAAAATATGTACACAAATACCTATTTTCTGCAAATTTTTGCTTACGATCTGATTTCAAAATTTTACTATTTGAAGAATAAATCCAGTTAAAATTTGTTTTGTCTTTTTTATATTAAATATTTTGTAGGGAAAAATATATTGAAACCAGAATTTTAATTATGATTCAGCGCCAGTAAAATATGCGATTTTTTACTGTATTCGATAAGTTAAACTGCTTAAATTTTGTAAAAGATTACAATAAGGCTAATTAATGACTTAGATCTTACACTATTTTCTATGTCATAATTAATAAACACAAAAAAAGATAAAAATTTATATAATGCCATTATACTGCTGGGCCCAAATTATGAGATAAAATGTTTTAAATTTGCTTTGTTTCATTTAATATATTTGAATTTATTATGTCTTTGGGGTAATGATAGTGGATTGATTTACTGTTTCCATCCAAGACTCAATAACCCATTCTACTATTGTATTTAATCATCAACTGAGTGGGACAGATGGATTCGTGCCTTTTGAAAATCGATTGAAAATTTCACTGGTCTTTGGACTGTCATCGCTGAAACTTCTCTCTCACGTGCCAAACGTCTTAAGAACTGATGTGGATCTTTCTAATAATCTCTTTATCTTTAAGTTGAAATGATGACCCCCTTTTCTGTTGTGACCTCCTCATCCAGTTTTCCACTCTACTGTTCTCACATTTTTAAACCTAGTCACCGTTCTCTTGATGGTTCTTGAATGGTCTTTGAAGATGGAAGCCAGAGTATGAATGTTGGTACCTTTACTGAAGGCCTGAATGATCTTTTTCCTCTCATAACTGCTCAGTTGGGAAGATACGATTTTAATTTGTTCTCTTTCTAGCTGAATAACTCAAAGAGTTTTTCAGTGATTCTTGCGACAGATGGTGCCAAGATGGCTATAAACGTCTTATCTGAAAACAGCGGGAAAAGAAACTAATTTGAAAAGAAATTAATTTAGTGTTTTTTTTTTTTTTTTAGTTTTCTTTTTTAGATATTAAACATTTTGCGGGATGAATAATTATCGCATGCTGTTACACGATCTGAAGAATTTTGTTATTACATCAAATGTCCATATTCAGAGACCCTCCCCCCGTAACCGCATACCTATTTGCTGATATTAACTGACGCAGTCCAGAAGTGCATGGACAATAATTTTACGTATAAGAGAGTTAGTTACATGTTCTCTATAAAACAATAAAGTAACAGCTGATTTACTTTTCGTCCTTCTAAAGCTCTGTTTTAAATGCTAAGATGGTTACCAAATTCAAGTGAGAAATGATTTTATTTGAATAATTAAATAATTCAATTATAAAGGCGAACAACAAAACAATGACTTATTTATAAAACTGAAAAATATCGATTTGAAAGTGACAAAAAAAAACAAAGTTATATTAAAATATTCTTAAATATTTACATATACAAATTGGTTTATGGATCATTTACAACAAATATAACGTCAGAATCCATCTTGAATATTTCTAAATCTACCAATTCGACATTGCCTTGAATATTGTCTTTAAATCTGGTCTGGTGCCCCTGCTGAATATCTCGAGATTTTTGACAAAATTCAAAGACGGGTCTGTAATATAATCAATCCTGCTGTGGTATTTCGACTTCAGTCATTTTCTCATCCACGTGATATGGCTTCCTTTTGACTTTTGTTTAAATATTTTCATGGTAAGTGTTCTTATGAGTTTTTTTTCCTTCGTGCTTCGACTGTACGAATTTCAGCGTGCTACTAGATTGGCACCTAGGTCTAAGCATTTTAAAGTCGAACTAGCTAGACACTTCTACTCTAAAAGTTCATTTTCTCGCATTTCTTACCTGTGGAACTCACTTCCGGTTCCTGCATTCCCTGACACCTACAATATTTAAAAATCTACATGCAACATCAATCACCATCTTTTGTCTTCCTGAAACCGGTTCCGCTATTGAAGTTTCTGCTCTTTTCCTCGCTAGAATATTCTCATTCTCTTTCATTCCATGTAACCTCTTTCGCCTTAGCGGCATTATCGCCTTGCTTGTTGCGAAACGATTAAAAAACAACTCGCTAAAGAAACTGAAAATAGGATAGCCTGCGCTAAGGGTAAATTTGTCTAACACTTCTTGGTGCTACGGATGCTCGTGTCATTTTTTTAAATAGCCTATTCGGATCTAGAATTTTATATGGATGGCATACATAGCGTGCATCTCGTTCAGAAATGGAAAAATCTGTTAGCTATGTACGACCGTTTTCACAGATCAAAGATTAAAGGTCGCTTCAAGCGATAGAACCTTCTTTAAGAGTTAAAGAATTAGAGTTACTTCATTAGAACTTCCAGAACGGTACGACAGAACCACCAACGAAGATGACCAAATAATGAAAAACACATCACTTGAAGACTTCAAACAGTAGCAACTAAAAAGGGATAGTATAAGTTGACTTTTCATACTAACTTAAATAAAAGATTAGGAAGGAAACTAAAACGAGCGATAACATTTACTGCATTTGAGAAGCATATTTTCCTGAAAAATTGGATTAAGAAAAAGATTTTATGAATTTCAACCGACATAAATGCTGGATTTTCGGTCAATGAATACGAAATGCTTCCTGTATTAGCATTATGTAAGAACTGCTAAGTTGATCAGACTATAAAATGTATTTCCAAGGTATTGATGGACTTATTTTTAATCCAACATTTTTGTTACTTCATACGAATCTATCTATCTATCTATCTATATATATATATATATATATATATATATATATATATATATATATATATATATATATGTGTGTGTGTGTGTGTGTATATATATATATATAGAACTTGCTTCTTCTTCGACGGTAATGTCTTCAACGACCCTTAGGAATCTATTGCACGCCACCCCGCGCAAACCCCTAGTCTTTTATAAAATCCGGTATCATTCCCAACCAATACTACTTCGCCTAAGCGTATATCTATCTATCTATCTATCTATATATATATATATATATATATATATATATATATATATATATATATATGCAATTTTTTCTATCTATCTACCTATCTCAGTCTGTTCGCATCTATCTCTATCTGTCTGTCTGTCTCTCTCTCTCTCTCTCTCTCTCTCTCTATATATATATATATATATATATATATATATATATATATATATGCACTTCTTTTTCTATCTTTCATCTATCTGTCTGTTCATATCTATGTATCTATCTATCTATCGATCTCAACCTGTTCATATCTCTCTCTCTCACACACACACACACACACACACACACATATATATATATATATATATATATATATATATATATATATTGCAAGCCACAGATAGGCTGTTTCACTGTATCACAGCTCATCAGTTTTGGCTAGACGTCCGATTGACACTAGCTAGGATCGAAACCCGACTGAATTGGCGTCAGATTTCCCCACTAAGCCGTTGGCGCACGGCAGGGAAGAAGGTGAAGTTAAGCATATTTATTTTTAGATAAACACGCAGTGGCTGAGAGAACTTGATTCGATATTATACATAACTTGAAAAAGTCTGTCATACTGTGGAAATATTTTTGAACATTGTTAAACACTGTGTCGTTTCTTTTTTTTTATTCTTAAATCACACTTTTCTCTAAGTGATAAAAAATATTGGAAGAGTTCCGTTAATCATTATTATTATTATTATTATTATTATTACTTGTAATAGTTGTAACAGCTATTATATCCTTCTTTATTCACTCATTGTACACTGCCCAACCGTTGTATTTGGAGTTACCGAGTGGGTGTGATGGATTTATTTGATGGAGAAATTCCTCCTTAATATGAGAAAAGTACCGTGAAGGAAGACTTTTATGATATCTCATATCTATTTATTGCCAGAAGTTGTCTTGATATCCTTTTCTTGACAAGTACGCAGGGGCCTATTACCACTGCTACTATGGCCATATTTATGCCACATATCCTCTCGATTTCTAGTTCTTTTATCAGTCTATTCATATCGAACTATAGAAGTCCGTTCATATATATCCATCTAGCTATTTATTTCAGTGTGTTCATATGTAAGTACATCCATATATATATATATATATATATATATATATATATATATATATATATATTAGTGGTAAATATACATACATATGCAAAATATATAAATACCCATACATGTATATTTTTAGAATAAAATTCCAAGAGGATAGAATCCAGGTAGAACTCAATGTCCAGGACAGAGTAAGGATATAATAAAAAGGCTTAAACACTAATATTCCATGGTCATAATTTATTCCATTGGAATCGTAAATACGATCCAATTCATCAGACCTACAAATTCAAAAAAGAAAACAGAAAAAAACTCCGGAAATAAAACAGAATTTAGAGAGAGAGTGTAAGTATGAGGAGGAGGGAGATTAAACCTTAACAGGGAGAATTTTAGGAGAGGTGGGTGAAGGGGTTTAAGTCAGAGAAAATGAATGTTGTCGGATGTCTAATATATATATATATATATATATATATATATATATATATATATATATATATATATATATATATCCCAGTTACTATCTATCTCAGTCCGCGGATATCTGTTTATCTCAGTCCATTAATATCTATCTATCTATCTATCTATCTATCTATCTCAGTCCGTTCGTATCTATTTATTTATCTATCTATCTGCACAACCGTTTTGGAAAAATGGATTAAGAAAGAGATTTTATGAATTCCAGCCGACAGAGACGGTGGGTTTTTGGTCAAGGAATACCGAAATCGTGGCTATAATAAATTTGTTTCCGCTTACCAAAATATATTCAAATAAATTTAGAATAGCAAAATCAATTACTGCTTTGTATCTAGTTCAAACAAAATTGCTTTCAAAAAGTTAATTATTCTTAAATTTTTCTTTGTAATCAATTTGTCTGAACACCAAAATTATTAAAAAATAATAATAATCTATCTATCAATCTATCTATCTATTTATCTATCTATCTATATATATATATATATATATATATATAATAAAAAGGGTTAAACACTAATATTCCATGTTTATAATTTTCTTACATTGGAATCGTAATTACGATCCAATTCATCAGACCTACAAATTCAAAAAGCATTATGTATTAGCATTATGCAAGAACTGCTGAGTTGATCAGACTATAAGATGCATTTCCAAGGCATTGACGGATTTATTTTTAATCCGATAGTTTTGCTATTTCATACGAAGTTTGCTTACCTTAAATAAGGAAAATGGAGCCTTGCTGAACTGTATCGCTCTCCGTAGCCAAATGGTAAAGTACGACAGATCAAACGGTGGTTTCTTCTACATAGGATGGCGGAGATTTAATCCATGCCGGGGAAAGCGTTTTATTTATTAAGATTTCTCGAATTCGCATACCGTTAGACGTTATAGAGACTATTTAAAATAAAATGTAAAAACAGGTGCGTCTATTTCAAATACGTGTATCCACTATAATTACGTTATAAGATGCATCCTCGTAGTTTTAATGATAAAATCGTATTCATTTGGTTTCACAGTTTTAAAAAATATTTGTACACACAGCGAAAACCAATTTTATGTATGTAATTAATTTTGTTTAGATTTTTCGTGCGGACGTACATAACATTAGTATTTATATATAAGATATCACTGCCTGATTTAGATTCGTAACTTCATGATAATACTTCCCAAACCAGACTAATATATCAGGCTCTGGAACTAAATCTGAAAACATGTACCTATGATCTTTTTATAGTTATTTTTTTAAATCTATTTATTTTTGTTTTTTTTACTTGACGATGGAGTAATGGATAGCAGCTCGAATTGAGAACTTGGAGAGCCGAGTTCGAATTCAAGTCGATTCCATTACATTCACTTACGTGCCTTTGGAAAGGTAGGCATCCTCTTCTTCTCCCTCAGATAAATAGCACGACAGACCGGGTTCTATAGCCTTAGATGGCAACTGGTCTACTGCAGAAAGAAATAGCAGCCTACTGCAGGAAAAAAATCTGCCTCGTCAGTAATGTATCAAAAGATATATGATCGCCTAAGCGTGTATCACGCATGGCATATAACCGTCTGACTTAGGCGTATGGGATAAAGTTTAGCCGCACTTGAAACTCAAAAATTAACATTCATTTTTTTTTTTTTTGCAGTAAAACGTTTTGTTTTGTTATTGTTGAAACTTGACTAATGCATGGAATAATAATGCAACACAAAATGTACTTAGAACAAAATGTATTGAAACAAGAAAGTGTACACAATATTTACATATAGTCTTTTGTATATTCCTGGTAAGACCGTTCCTGGACAATGTGTTGACTGAGTCGCAGTCGGGCAGAGTCTCTGGATTGAATCTCTTGATTCCTCCCTTTCTTACCGGTACCAACCATATTTATATGGTCGGTACTCCACTATGCAAATTAGGTGGATCCTACCACAACAATAACCAAAAACATTTTGCGGTTTCTCTCTTCTTTTTTAAATATACATTTTTCATTTCCCCATATATATATATATATATATATATATATATATATATATATATATATATAATATTGATATATTGATCCTACCACAACAGTTTTTCAGAAAAGAAAAAATATGAAATTTCTCTGAATACCAAAAAAAAAAATGTTTATTAATCTGCAAATAGACGAGTCCGGGAAAATATCCAGATATTTTGAATATCACGAAAATCGTTTGCGCAGTTTGGATACAATTCGCCGCCGGAAAATTGCCGCTCAAGAAATTTCTTGCATCTATCTCACTCTTTTCATATCTATCTATCTATCTATCTATCTATCTATCTATATCTATCTATATCTATATATATATATATATATATATATATATATATATATATCAGTCTGTTCATATCTATCTATCCCAGTGAGTTCAGTATCTATCTATCAATAAGGGGTAGGAGATAAAGAAATCAAACTGTCTGTTCATATCTGTCTACCTAAGTTTCTATCTATCTATCTATCTATCTATCTATCTATCTATCTACGTCTCTAGAGCAACTATCTATCATTAATGGGATAGGAGATAAATATATTGAACATAGAACATGCTGCGCTAAGGGGAGATGCTACTCAACCGAAACTTTAAGCCTAACACTTGTAATCATGTTTTTAAAGATCGAGATTTTCATGCGGGTGTCATCCAAATACCGATCTAGTCCTGTTTGTTTAAATATTTTCCTCGATCTATTTCTCTCTCACTGTATTTATCTACCTCTCTCTACATATGTGTCTATCTAACTCTGCACATCTATCTGTCTATCTATCTATCTATCTATCTATCTATCTATCTATATATATATATATATATATATATATATATAATAAAAAGGCTTAAACACTAAGATTCCATGGTTATAATTTATTATATTGGAATCGTAATTACGATCAAATTCATCAGACCTATAAATTCAAAATGAAATCGGAAAAAATAACCCAGGGTATAAAAAAAATTTTTAGTGAGAGTGTAAGTATTGGAGTAGGTGACAAGTATGAGAAGGAAATATTATATATATATATATATATATATATATATATATATATAATATATGTATGTATATACACACACTTATATATATAAATATATATATATATATATATATATATATATATATATATATATATATATATATATTCCATATATGTATATATTCTATATATATATATATATATATATATTCTATGTGATATGTATATATATATATATATATATATATATATATATATATATATATATATATATATATATATATATATATATATATATATATTATTTATATATTATATGGGTACTTATTAGAAAGCGCTCAATATCAGAGATAGAGCTAACATATTTGGTTGGATTATGTTTATCTATCTCTCTCAGTCTGTTCATGTATATTAATTTAGTGCAATCTGTTTAGATTTAGCTATGTATCTGTCAATCTTTCATTTCGTCCTCTTGTATGTATATCATTTTATTCATATCTATTTAATATATAAACAGTTCGCCTATTATAATTTAGCATATTTATATATACTTTTTGAGTAATGGTTAACAAGCTTGTGTTGAATTCCTATATTTTGGATGAAATCGATTTTCTCATAAGTGTCCAAGTGATGCGCCTTTGTGCTAGGCGAGAGCAAATTTCATAAAATATCAGAGCGAACGAAGCAAGCGCCTTATAAAAAGAGAGACAGAAGATATCAAAATAATAATAATAATGGGTGGATTGGGAGAGAGAAAAGCAGATTAAAACGGGGGTAACGAGAGAGAGAGAGAGAGAGAGGAGTTTGAATAGAGAGAATAGAAAATAAAAGTGGGGTGGGTTCAGAGAAAGGATGATGATATAGAAAGGGAGGAAAAAGAAAAACACAAGCGATGATAGAAAGGTGTAAATAGAGAAATAAAAGAATGTTTTAAGAGTGAAGAATTGCGAACAAAAAGAATAAAGATGGAATCGAGTGAAGGAAAAGAGGCGAGAAAAATGCTTGTGAAAAAAATGTGGTGAGTGCGAGAAAACGAGCAAGGAAAAGTCGACCTTTTATTCCCACCGTTTCCTCCTTTGCCAATATCACGCAGCCGATTAAGAAAGCCAAAGATCAAATCCCCGTCCAACAATTTTGGTCATTAGCTCCAAAAATGCATGCTCGCCTTAATAAGGTTACGAACAAGATCCGCAAACCAGCGAATTAGGCACCGGGTCCAAGACACTCTTTCCGGCCTTTTTCCTCTCAATCTTCAGATATTTAAAAGCTGCAGAGCGGGGGAGGTGGCGGGTGGAAAGAGTGGACAGTCATTCCAGCCTTTTTAGCCTTCGAGAAGCTTCCCCAAATTGGACGTCTGCTCTGATGTTCTGACTCAACCAGGAACAATGCTTTCAGTACTGAGCCCTAGATTTGACCCAGGAAAACTTTCAAGCCTTGTGGTAAGTTGTGTCTCACATTTGAATTAGGGGCGAAAGTTTCTTCTTCGACGGTGATGTCTTCAACGACCCCAGGAATCTATTGCACGCCACCCCGCGCAAAGCAACTCTTTATAAAATCCGGTATCATTCCCAACCATAATACTACTTCGGTTATTATTATTTTCCAGATGTATTTTCCGGCTATGTAGTTCCACAACTCTGCCGAATCATCCATTTTCACAGATCAACGAAGGTAACTGAATCTATCCTATAATATAAAACAGAATGTTATTTTACTGGTTATGCAGCCTTCTTTTCCTTACTTAGTTATAAGATATTCTATAACTATGTTACTAAAAACATACAAACGAGGACGAGGCTGGCATCCCGCTCTCACCCTTTCACTGTAGGAACTTTTAAATGTAGCCGTCTCTTCTACTCCAACAGCTTCATGTATCGCACCTCTCGCCTGTGGAACACCCTTCCCAATTACTGTTTCCTTGAGAGCTATAATCTCCAACTATTCAAATGTAATGTCAATCGACATCTCCAGTTACCTTGATCTATCCACTATCCTTCTCCTCATCCTTTCTTCTATCACTCCTATCTGCTCTCGCTCCAAATCTTCTGCAACCCCCCCTGCATCCGAGTGGCTTCACGCCTTGCTCGGGGCGTAATGCTTAAAAAAAAATAAATAAATAAAAATATTACTACAACAACGGAATATCTCATTAGTAAGTAAATTGATCAGGTTATTCATACGTAACTGTTTTATTTATTTTTGATTTGTATGAGCTTTGGATATTTTTCTGATTTTCTTCTCACATGTCCTTACCAGCTTGTATAATCATGGCTCTCCACAATTTCCTATCCTTATCAATTCTTTTTTTTTTATATATATCAATATCCCTCCTACTTTCTGTTCCAGAATCCGTTTACACAAGCTCGTTAGGTAGGTTACTCGATCTTTCCTTCTTTACCCCTGTTGACTTCCTGTGTGCACCAAATTATCCAAACCCACTTTCCTCATTTTTGCTTTTCAGAAATTTCAACATGTCTTCTTTTCTCTTCTCTTAAAACTGAAAACTTCCTCATTGCTTACATGCTTTCTCCATGTTATTCTCAGTGTCCTTCTGAAGAACCACGTCCCTCAAGTATCCTTTTTATCTGTGAGGGAATTGTCTAACAATAAACACCAGATGAGTGGATTCGTACAGTACAGCGTTTCAACAATCTTTGTTTTTGTTTCTTAATATTTGTTTAGGCTTTCGAAGATATATTTCACTGTTGTAATGCCTTTTCTGAATTTTGCGTCACATTTTCCACTTCCGACATATTTAAAGGTAGCCGTCTCTTCTACTCCAATAGCTTCATACCTCGCACCTCTCGCCTGTGAAACACCTTTCCCTATTACTGTTTCCCTGAGAGCTATAATCTCCAACTATTCAAATGTAATGTCAATCGACATCTCCTGTTACCTTGATCTATCCACTTATCTCCTCATCCTTTCTTCTATCACTCCTAAGTGCTCTCGATCTAAATCTTCTGCACCCCCCTGCATCCTAGTTGCATGTCTTTTTCTTTTCCCTCCCTTTCTATATCATCATCTTTTCTCTGAATCCACCCCCTTTCATTAATTAGAGTGTAATCTTAATTTAACGAACAAAGAAAATCGTCCGTTAAACCGTTTGTCCGTTAATTTGAAGCATTTTTTTTTCGTGGCCTAAAAAGACCCAGTACAGTACACAATTATTGTAAATAAAGGTAAATACAATATATATATATATATATATGTAAGTGTATTTTTTCTTATTTTTAAGCAAGCGCCAAAACACAGTAGTTTCATCCGCATTATATATCTGACTTAGGTTTAAGTCTTCCTCTTTTAGGAGTTTCAGAAATTTAAGACGGAACGGTTCTATAGGATCGTTATCGCAACTAGCACTTTCCCCTTGTACCATTTTATTACAAATACCTTTTCAGTTACGGTATCGCCGCAGCCAACCTGTACAACCCTTGAAAGTGATACGGAAAGATTCGGTTATTTCCAGCATCAAAAATTTCAACCCCAGGAACGTTTGCGTTCATTGACCTGTTTCACATACCATTTGTAAACAGCTTTCCTCTAGGTCATTACTTTGACACGTTTTCATGTGCTAACGCTTATACACAACACCTTTCTTATCTTTGGTAGGGTCCACATCAAACTTCACTGTAAAAACTTGCAGTTTTTTCTTACTTCTACGTATGTCACTTACAGTTTGTTTTGTTTTTTGTTGTTGTTGTTGTTGTTGTTTTCACGCCATATTCCTCACATACTCTGGCCACAGAAACTCCCGACTCCAACTTAATAAGTTTCAATTTGTCACGAATATTAAGGTCAGTGCGCTTCTTTTTCTCCCCTAAAATTTTCTAACTTTAAAGATTATGACATCAGTTGGTTATCCTCAGACGATTTTCATCAGTTGACCTTCCGAAGCTTTATAAAAAAGAAAAACTATTGAACGCTATATCATTTGTAAAAAAAATATAAATAAAAAAAAAGCACGATGTTGGGTTTGATAGAAAGGAAGAAGAAGAAGAAGAAGAAGAAGAAGAAGAAGAAGAAGAAGAAGAAGAAGAAGAAGAAGAAGAAGAAGAAGAAGAAGAAGAAGAAGAAGAAGAAGAAGAAGAAGAAGAAGAAGAAGAAGAAGAAGAAGAAGAAGAAGAAGAAGAAGAAGAAGAAGAAGAATTAGAAGAAGAAGAAGAAAATAATTAAATGTAAATACAATATGTATGCATGTATTTTATTTTTAAGTAACTGTATAGTAACTTAAAATAAATTACTCGAAAACCTTTCCTTATGTCCGTTTTATCTCGCCATATTCCTCACATACTCTGGACGCAGAAACTCCCGACTCCAACATCTTAATAAGTTTCAATTTGTCACTAATACTAAGGTCAGTGTGCTTCTTTTTCTCCCCTCAGTTACGATTGGATGCCATTGTGAAAAGTTTGACAAAGAAGACAATACCGTATAGTGTACGAAATCAGCATAAAATGTTCAAGAGACGATGCATGTGTGTACATGACGAGCGATCTAGTAAACAACAGCGGCTATTCCTGTAATAACCAGTCTCTATCTTTTG